AGCTTTAATTGCTGGGGTGATTGATGTACTTGACAACATGGTTGGAACATGCAAGGTGCCAGCCAAGGTTTMTGTCACCCACAAGGCTATGGCAGAGCTTGTGCTTTGCCTGCCTCTCTCCTTTGATATCACCTTGCTCCTGCAGCATGGAATGCTTTGAAGGAAAGCTTAGAGGAATGACTGAATAAATAGCATTKATGCACCATTCCAGTACAAATGTGCCGACACATCTTATCAGTGAGTCAATACCTGACTTGCTCAGGCTGTGTCACAGCAGCCTGCCCCACATGGATCAGAACATTTCACTGTGTTCCTGAGGTTTAGGGAAGAGTTATTTGTACTAGAATGGGAAGAGACAGTCCAGTTCCTCAACCCTCGTTTCTGAGCAGATCAGGTGGATCAAAACCAGCTCCAGTTCAGAGACTACAATGCTGGGCCCCAGTGAAGAAACCCATTTGGTCACAGGCATTTTTATCTCTGGAAATAAAGCTGGCTGTTTATTCCAGAACTGTTTAGGTGTCCAGATAGCAATGATATTACCTCTTTGTTCTCATACACTAACAAATATCAAATTTCCTGGGGGTGGAAATTTTGCTTCCACACAGAAGTCCTAATGTGGTAACACAAAAGAAAGAGCTGTTTCTAAACAGTGCTGCAGCTGTAAATATATAGAAATTGTTTGATGAGAAGCAATGCTAACCTTACTTTCAATAAGCTGGACAGAATGGCTGAATCCACATTCTTGGAGAAGATCACAGCWAAGCAGTTGCATGCAAACCATGAGCTCCAAATATTTCCACTGAAAATGGGAGTGAAAGAAGTAGGGTCTTAGCTAAAAGGGTGAATAGGGGGGACTTCAGTGAGCACAGAGAGGAGGACAGGATTGAGACAGAAAAGTGGGGTATGTGTCTACAGAGAGGGCAAGTCATGGAGGACAACAGAAAAGTRCTGGTCCTGACCCTGATCCTGGAGAAAAGCTACTGTGCTGTCTGTTGTGGGCAAAAACACGCTGGCCTTGAGAGGAGGAGAGAGCAGCTCTAGGGAAGGTTGACAACACGATTCTAGATGTGAAATTGAGACTTGTTAAGATATTCTTACTACAAGAGGAACTAAACATTTAGGAAATAAAACTGATATTGTGAGGAGAAAGATCCCTTAGGATGCAATCAGGAGGATGTGTTGAGGCTGTCAGGAGTTGAAGTAGACGAAATATTTTTATGTGAAAAGGGCAAGTTAGGAATGAAGAGGAGGTAAAGAGGCTGATAATAGTAATTKTTCTTATTAATTCTGCATATTAATCATGCTCTCCTTAGAAGGTGTGGGCAGAACCCCATGCAGAAAGAAGAAGCAACAGGCAGCACAAAGATTTTCTTGGGGGGGATTTCTTGAAATCAAAGAGTGTAGTTTAATATTGTTAGAGGAAAAAAAATGTTTATTGTACTGAAGGCAAGCTATTTACAGCATTTCCATCAAGCCTGCTTTTCAGTGATGGGTCAGAAAGTAGGGATGGGGTTTGAAAGGTCTGAAAGCAGATGACAACTCATCAAAGCTAATGGACCAGAAAACATGAAAGGTCCAAGTGTCAATGTGAGAGAAAATGGGTAAATGCTGAAAGAGATCAGATGAAGGCTGAAGAGGGAGAAAGTGGCTATTAAAAAGAATATCAGAGTACTTCTAGATAAAATCACTCATGGGAAAGACACCAGTGATGAGAAGAATGAACCAAGACTGAAATTTGTAGAGAGATATGAAAGCAAAGAAATATGCACTTAAGGGTCGGATATATCATCATTGTAGGAGCTGAAGTSGTTACAGATGAGTGGGGAAAACTGCAGGACAGAGAATTAGCAAGACTTTAAAGAAGGTTGATAAGTGTGGTAAGATGTAACAGTAAGATGTAACAACAAAAAGGAATAGMAAGAGAAGCAACAGATGCAGTCTGCTCAAAAGCTGGGAGAAAAGTTGGAAGGAGAGAAGATGCCAAAGAGAGGAGCYTGACAGATCAAACACAGATGGGTTAAGTTGGAGAATATGAAAGCAAGCAAAAAAGGACAAAAAGAATTAAAAATAACTGAGAAGTGGTGAGATAACTATTACAGGCTGTCTTCCCAGAGTCTGCATAAGTCTCCTTATCACAAGAGCCACATCACACAGGTATTCAAAACAGCCCTTTATTTCAGTCAGATCAGGCCATGTTACAGTGTTTCCATGTTGTTCCCTTTTATACAATGATACGATAAAAAGTACCTGTACAGACATCTCATCTGATTGCAGGAAATAAAAATCTTGTTACATGTCAATCACTAGATGACACTTTGAATGGAAAGAAACAAACCAAAACAAAAATCCATTGTTTAATGAATAKTCAAGGATGATTTCATCAAAATACTCTTAGAACAAATAATATTCTGTGGAAATGTGTGTATTAAGTCCAGTATCTTAGGATTTAGGAGCTCTAAGATGAGCGGTCAAACTGTCACCACCTGTGTGACCATATAACATGATTCACATCTATCTAAGTTGTATATTGATTGGAGATTGGACTACATGAATATAAATGCCTTTAGAAGCCTTCATGTGCCAAATCCATCAGCTGTTTGGCCAGAAAACCAATAGGTCTGAGAAACAGCCTCCTAAATCCACTGAGAAAGGACACGTGGGCTAGTAACACTCTTGATTTAAGGAAACATGATGTTAGCTGGACTCTTCCTACTGAAAAAGACTTTGAAGGTTCTTAATTACTTGCTTTGTATACTCAGATACATTGCTTTAATGTTTTTTTCTCTGCACTGTTGTACACTTTGTGATACTCCATTCCCTGAGCCCTTCAATGTGCTGTGTCTAATCCTGAATCWTTTACACTATGGCCACCCAGGATTATCCACCAAATAACACATGTGCACTGTAAGGCAAGGCTTGYGCAGAAATACACCTTCTGGGTTATAATTCAGGCAGCTCCAAAGCTGCACATGTTCTGGGATCTGGTTTTTTTTTTGCAGTTCCTGTCAGTTGACATTGCCCAAGCTTTGGCTGTGCACAGAAGTTAAGAGTCACAGTACATCTCACCACAGCAAAGACTCTTCAGAAAA